GCCTCGTGTACTCGTGTGCACGTCTGTTGCTGATACTTCCATTTCCGAAGCCTTCAAGTGTGTTGTGCATATAGATGACTCTGACTGTTGCCTACTCGCGGTTGCCAATCGTTTATTGTTGTTATTAGTTGTTGCTTAAGTGGAAATAAATTTTTAGCGAAAATGATGCTTGAGAAAAGATTGCATTTCTACGTTCAAACACGGATGTGGGTGTAGCAAGTGAAAATTAGAAAAAATAAATAAAAAATAAACACGAGAATTGTAAATAAATAAAATAGCAGTAAGGTAAATAAAGAGTACAGTAACTAGCTGCTGTTGTAAAGGAAAACAAATATTTTTCTTTTATCAGCTTGAAAGCAAATATTATGTTTCGAGAAACTGAGATGAAACTGTGAATTAGAAAACTGCAAACGATAAAACTACAAATCTATTTTTTTATTATGTTTTCGAATATTCTAATTTTATATTCAAGCATCGATATAAAGAAAACTTCTTAGAATTCTGAATTTTTTTTGAGTATTATGGGAACTCAAATGGAGAACGAGAACTTTATATTTTTACTAGTAGACCCGCCTACACGCTGTTGTGGCCTTTTGAATTTTGTAGAAATTTTATTCTCATTGAAATTGCAAAGAATGACAAAAATCCCCTTATCAAGCATCATAAAAGTACCAAGTAATGAGTTTTTTTTTATTATAGTCCCTGCTACTGAAAGCCCGTCACGTAAAGAACAATCGGATCTATGCTTGGCATAATAAAAAAAATTTTGACCAAAAATTGGGGCTAAAATTTTTTTGGTTGGCAAAAAATAGGGTTTGGTGAAAGAATGGTGAAATTTTGGTTTCTATGTATTTTGTAATGTCACTTCATAAAAAAAATTAAACTAAAAATTTTGTTCGAAAAAAAATATCACTTATATATAATTGGTGCTTTCGCCAAGTTCCTCCTCCAGTTTGAGGTATTGCGTCTTGATGATTTTCCAACAAATAGAGGGACCTACAGTTTATACTAAGCCGCCTCCGAACGGCGGATGGTTTTCTTCCTAGGAGAAGCCTTTCATGTCGGAAACAAACTCGGAGGGGTGGACATTCCCTGCCGAGGGCGGCCGCAATTGGAAATTTTATTTTAATTTAAATTAATTTCACATAACTTATTAATGTTGGTGGCACCGGGATATGAGCCCGACCCTTTCGAATGTCAGTACGCAGTGCTAACCACTCGGCTACCGCGGCTACCTCTTATCACTTAGAGGGATGAACAATAGATGTTAGCCGATCCTCTGACCTGCCGAATATACATTTAAAATTTCTTCAAAATCGGTTAAGCCGCTTCGGAGGAATATCATGACTAATACTGTGACACGAGAATTTTGGCCAGACTTATCTCTAAAATTAAAGAAAAATAGTCTGATAGCGGTCACTCTTGGCTTCAGAGGTTATAATTACAACAATTATATATATATTACAGTATGCCACCCTTTTATAATTTTTTTTACTGCTCATTACACTATTTACGGAAAACTGATATCGTATCGGTTATACTTAAGAACACCTTTGAGATGGCTGAAGACATTCTCCTTTCATTAACGCTATAATGATAAGGTTTGGGCTCTCTTTTTGAGATCTTAATATAAGAGAGCTATTTCTTGAACATGAAAACTATAGATGGAATGGCGAGATTATACACTTGATTCAAGACACGCCACATAGAAAACAGCTGCAATGAAAAGTGCAAGCACCTCGGCTCGAAGATTTCCCTTTTGATGACGCCTATGTAAATGTTCTAAGAGCTATGATTTGTTGTCAAGCACACAGGTCATCCGATCTTTTAATTGACAAGGTCACCGCCAACGGAAGTTAAAATCATCGTGTCGTAAGTTCTGCTTGTTTTCGGATTATATAAAGAAGCGAAGCTAATGCAGCGGTTGGCAGCCTTAACATTGAAGTCGTAAACAATCGCATCTATCCTGAAACCAGCATCCACCCTAAAAAGATATATATATATATTGAGCGGGCAATTGAAAGGTAAAGTCCTCTCTCCTAATTTACTAGTCGTCATCGCTCTTCTCTCGTTATATTCTATAATATATAATATAATCTAGAAATGTTGTCCGTAACTATATCTGATGAGTCGGCATTAGGACTTTTCAATATTTACTCCGATTGGCGCTGAACGGCTAAAAGGTGTCTAGGCCAATAAAAAATAAAGAGAAATTCGATCAGAAAGAAATGATCAAGATGGTATATTAAAGTATTTCATATTTTGCATAATAAGATTAAAGATTTGAATGAGATGGTGAGCGCACAGTCTGGTGGATTGCTTCATTTCATTTCATTGCTGGGTTAGGCCAGAAAATCTCAGTGCCTCTTTGATTATCTCAGTGTGCCCAAAAACCATATTTTGTCGGAGAGTTTAGGCTTAATAATAAGCCACATCCTACTGGCATGACATGCGGGCAGAGTGGCCAGTACTGGGCATAAGTGACACGTTGGTCTTATGGGGTTATATCTAACTAGAGTTTTCAAAAAATCGATTGTTTTTGATTTCATTTTCGTACTGTATTCATGTAAAAAGTCTGAAAATCTCACTTTAATCTGACTGTTATTTTAGAAGTTAGACGCATATCTGTAACGACGGGTCAGCGTATTTCAAAGCGGTTAGCCGGTTTGGTGCCTCGTTTTTCTCAAACTATGTTTCTCAAGTCGGTGATCAAGATTTCTCAGGAACGTCTGCACCGATAATACTTCAGTTTTTATGCGGACTTCTAGTATTTAATAATCTTTTCCATTATCAAAGAAAAGTTTTTTTAATGTGCAATTCAAGACAAAAATAATGGAGAAAAATAAAATTATTTTTTAGAAGCCGCCATTTTGTCAAAAAATAGCTTATTCTTTAAATTAGTTACAGATTATACATTATACATTACTTTAACGTAATGTGTTTAATTTTTACCTTTTTGTGATATAAATACTCCCTTAAATTTTACAAAAATCAGCGACGATCTACGCCACGACTGCTTTATCTCGAGTCAAATGGACACTCTTACTGACACTACAAAGTCCCAATTGGTCGAAGTAAGGCGTCTTTACCTGATTGTATAACCGAAACGAACCTAAACTAACCATCAGTTAACCATTTATGTGTATAAAGTGCTTTGAGAGTATCTTAGAATAAAAATTACTGATAAAATTAACGCATTATTTTTTTTGAATATCTGTTATGAGTACTTGCAAAGTAGAATGACTAATTCTTGCCTAGAATATTCGTACCTCGCTTTCAAGCGGATATCACAAATAAACCTTGTTTATTATTTCATAGTGGGGGATTTTTTTACATATATACTTTTTGGCCAGACATCTTAAACCATCAGAACAGTCTTCTTTTGTAACTTTAAGATTTTTGTAGCATACTTTTTAGCTGTTGCACATTTTTTGTAGCACCTCAAACTTTTTCGTGTACTTCTCAAAGGGTTAAAAAAATGCATTGTTTACCAACAGTTTAATTGTTTTTTTTTTTTAAATTGTTTGAAATAAATTAGGAATGAACTTTTTTAAAAAAGTATATTTGTGAAATATATGCAAATTGCTTACTCGTACAATAGTATTTACAGAATACCCAATGTAAGAAATAATTAAATGCAACTCACCTTCAATTGCTCAAGGATTTTTTTACAGGGAGAAAACCTCCTCGTACAGTTTCCGAAGTCAGCACAGAATTGCAGTAAAATAACTGTAAAGAAACGATAAAAGTTTAAATAAAATTATTAGTTGCTGAATTCATACCAAAAACTTCTTTAATATTGAAAAAAAAAAACTTAAACTATGCAACACTGCAAAACAGAGTCTTTAACTTCAGCCACTTCAGAAAGGACTTGAAAATCCTGGCGTTAAGTACCTACCGCCAAGAGCATTACATGGCTTGCTGACGGACAGAGGTGCTGGTGGAAGTGGTAATACTTTGGGAAATTGAATTAAATTTATGACCAAACTATGTTGTCGTTGTCGTTGTTGTAGTTGCTTTACTGCTGTTGTTGCACTTGGTACGCTTGAAACACTCGAAAAATGTGCGAAAAGTAGTAAACAACAAAATTACGAGCATAAAATTAAGGCAGCATAAAACAACAGCAACAACAACGAAAAAACAATTGCGACTACACAAGGTACAAAAGTACAACTACAATACAGCAACAACAATAAATGCACTTGTGAGCGGCGGCAAAATTTTCATGCTGCGCAAAAGCACTAAAAACTAAAACTTTACACGCCCGCGAGTGGCTGATAGATATATATGTATATATATATGTATGTATATATATATAGATACATATAAATGCAGTTGTGTGCAAAAAGGTGGAAAAGTGCCGTGTTTGTTGTCCTGGCCATCATAGGCAGTCCGTAGGTGCGGCTTTGGTTGCTAAGCGCTTTGAGCTTTCTGCTGCCGCCACTGCCGCTGTTGCTGCTGCTGCTGCTGTAGGCGACATTGTAGCTGTATAATTCAAAATCGAGTGGCTGAGCGGAAAAACTCCTTTTGTTACATTTCGCTACGTTGACTGCCATGAACCAGCGTATCGTTGTTGCATGCAATGTGCAATGTGCCTGCTGCACCATCGTGTGTGCAACGCCTATTTGTTTTTAAACCTATCCACTAGCCCAAAGTGAGTATTTTACCTGCAGTTTATGACGCATGTATGACGGTATGTCTTTGAGTGTTCCGTTTCAAGTTTTTAGGCGGTTTTAGAACGTAATTTTCAAAAGAGTTATTGACATCCAACGAATTCGCATGCGAGTCATTGCGGTAATATGCTATTCTGTGAAGAATATGAAGGGGGCTTGAAAATGTTTATACGTGCGACTGATTTTGCAAAAATCAGGAAAAAATTAAATGAATTAAAAAAAAAGTTTCAACATAAAAGTTGGACTGAAATTGAAAAAATTATTTTATTATTGCTTTGCATTGATGAAAGGTTAATACGAGATTATGTTTTATGATTTCAGAGCTAAGCCATTTTAACCTGGTGACCTGATGAGCGATTGAAAAGGATCTCACCAACAAACGAGTAAGATAAAATTGATCTTGATCCAAACATGAATGATACTTCCGTTGTTGAAGAGGATATCAACTCGCCTTGATCACTGTAAGAACAATAAATAAAATTATCATATTTAAGCCAATAGTAGGCTTGTTATGCTTCTCCGAGAGAGCTTGCTCAAGTCAACAAGTTTTTTCATCAGACGAAAGATTTAATATAAGGTAGAAGCGGGTTTTTTTTTTTAGAACAATGAAAACTGTAAAAGTTGTTTCTTCTCAACCAACTAATGGCTTGGCCTCCCAAAGCGATTACTCTCATTCTTTATTTTAAGTGCACAACTTATTCCTGATGGCAATACTTCTCTATGGTATGCTAGATATTGGCCTTGCTATGGATGTGGGAGCATCTTTCATCTCTTGCTTGACCACTTAGTCTCACTATCAATCCCTTGTTACTCTTTTACAAATTTCATTGAATAATTTACCTGGTTGTCTATTATCTTTGGGAAATTATTGAGGAAAGATATCGGAATCTAATTTTTCCTAAGAAATGGCAGGCGCTTAAAGGACTAGGTATCGTTTCTTACCTTATTTGAAACCTCTGAAACAACTCTTTAAAAGAACTCTGAACCTCCCTGCATCTCGTCCTATCAAGAAGTATCTTTCCAACACTCCTTAGAGATGTCCTGTCGTTGGAGAAAATATGCGTTGATTAAATTTCACCGATCCCATTTCAGCCAAGTTTGTCTAGATGTTTCTTAAGTACCAAAGTGAATTCTGCTGCTTATGTGCCTTGTGGGGGAAATAGATCTGCCTAACAACTTCTCACTATATCCCTGTGACCACGACTCTAACATGTCATAGAGATTGGGAATAGTCTAGCAGAATTTTTGAGTTTACTGTAAGCGAGCTAAGCGACTTAAGTGTTGCCCGGCTACTGCTGTAAATAAAAATATCTGCTGAAATGTAATCTGTTGGTTTCATATTAGCTGAAATTTCTCTTTAAAATATATCATAATGATCGGGTAACCTGAACGAGATCCCAAAAAATGGGTTTCTTTAAAGAACATCTCCGACAACTCTTTTATCAGTCTCGCGTTATCGTTTTCAAAGAAGGAAGCTCCAATCACACCTCCGATCCTCTCTCTTACTTTTTTAAGAATTCGCGAAGATCAATTTTGCTCAATTACATACAAACCGAGTGTGGAGAGTTTCGTTCGAAAATTTACCATCCATTGCTTATTGCTCAAGCACCCAATCAACGCATGTACACCTCCGGTTGTTGGGCGAGCTGGAATTTATCTGGATGTATGTTTAAGTCCAAGTGCAGAATACGCCATAACGTGCCGTTAGGAAATTGCAGCTCTAGAGAATCTCGAGTAGTAGACACATTCGGGTCTTCGGCTACGCGGTATTTGAGGCTAACGAATTGCGCTTAAAAATAAATGGAATGAATGTGGATTTAATGCCAATGATGGATGGCCCCAGCGTTTTAAAAAAAATATTCTGGGATTGCCTTCAGCAATATCAGAAGAAAAATTGTCTTCTCAACCTCAGCTGGTCGATCTATTTAAACTGTAGCCTGGAGCTAAAATAGACGAACTGGATCGTGCAATGAGGAACTGTGTAATGCTGATGAGTCTTCCTCATTCTAAGAACTTTTGTCAGAGAAAACTTATGTTTCATCGTTTGAAAAAAAATGGACCAGGAGTAAAGACAGGGAAGCTTTCATGTACAACTGTAGTGCAAATGCATCAGTATCGCTTAAGCCAAAACTATTGTTTTGTCGAAAAGCTAAGAAGCCACGTTATTTTAAGAGTTTTCATTACCTTTCTGATTTGAAGAGCTCCAAAACAGCCTGGATGACTTTCACAATTTTCAAGAATTGGTTTCATGAATCAGTTGGTCCACAAGTTATACTATAGATGTTGCTTAATTTCTCTTAATTTTTCTCAAATTAAGAGATTGCCTATGAAATCCATCCATCCAATACAAATGAATTGGAATTAAAAACAGAAAATGGAAACATACAGGCAATGTAATTTTGTGACTCCCCTCATACCACCAATGGACCAGAATGCTATAAAGACTACAAAATTGTATTAAAGAGAAAGCCTTATAAATTCTTTAGTATGCCTCCTCAAGTTATTCTTTTGCTTTTAAATTTATTTCTTCTTATTTTTTCGCTTAGTTTCTTGTTGCTGTCATTTATCAACGTTAACTTGTTATCGTTGGGTATTTATAATTATTAACTGATTGTTGTTATGTTTGTTGTAGCGTGTTGATGTGTTTCTGTAAATTTTTAATTGGCCACATGATTTCTTAATTTTCATATTTTTTCATATTTATAATGGATGATTTTTTAAGAGCTATAAGAGAGTTTTTCAAAAAAATAAAAACACATAAAGTTCAGAAATATACATGATACTTTATTTGAATCGATAGTATGGTCAATGTAATTTCATGTTTGAAGATTATTTTATGTAAATGTTGACTGTGACTGCGCCTCAATTGGTCCATCCGGTTTGCACGATTTTGGCATACTCTTTTCAACATTTCGGCTCTCACGAATAAATGCTTCAACGTTGTCCTCTAATACGTCCATTGGGGCAGGTTTGTCTGTATTGACTGTAGATTTAACATAACCCAACAAAAAATAGTCTAAAGGCGTTAAATCGCTCGATCTAGGCGGCCAACTGACCGGTACCGAACGTGAAATTAAATGTTCACGGAGCTCGCCTCTCAATAAGACCATTGTTACGTGTGCTGTGCGGCATGTGGCATCGTCTTGTTGAAACCACATGCCATGCAAGTCAAGCTCTTGCTTTTCGGACAAAAAAAAGTTGGATTTCATATCACTGTAGCGCTCAACATTCACAGTTACGTTATGATTCGCAACATCTTTGACGAAATACGGCCCAATGATGTCACCAGCCCATAAGCCGCACCAAAATTCGACTTTTTCTGGATGCATTGTTTATTAAACACATATTTATTTTCCACATAAAAATCCAATTTCCAATTTCCAAAACTTGAACAATTCGCTAATGTGAACACCCTTGGTTTTAATTAGTTCACGGTTTCGCGTGTGAACTGTATGTAAGTAAATACAAAAAAAAAAAAAAAAAAAAATAATGAGAATTCGGTTTATTTAAATCTCAGGCCAAAAAGTTATTTATGAGCTTTTTATGTATAGGGTTTGCCATCTATTCCATTGGTATTCCGCAAATAATTGGTGTTTCAAATAACTACTACATTGAATTATATCATTTATTCATTGCGGGTTACCGTATAATTTCTGCCTCTATGACAATTTTTAATTTAATTATTTTTATAATTGGTATTTACTTTTTGGGTCAATACCCTTTACCTTAAATTTAACGAACGGCTTATATCGAGTTCTGAATTTTGTTTGTTTTTAATACAACATTGCCGTTGGGTTTTTGTTAGAACTCTTACTAAAGTTTCTTCGGTTTGTTTATAATTCCATCAAGGCGTCTCTACATCTTTTCTAAATATTTTTTTTTTGTTTCTAATTTTGCTGTGTTCGTTCAGAGGATGTTAGAAATTTCCTTCATCCAACATCCTTCAGACAATTTCAATTGTTTCCCAGGCACTTCTCGCCATTTAGCTCTGTTGTCTCCTCTCTCTATTGCCCTGCCATTTTCCTGCGCTGTCCCTTGATTTCCTTATTTTTGTCTTTCTTTTTATTTCTCCTTTCCTTTCCTTAAAGCTTCATTCCATTTCAATTAGGTTATTGCGTTTTGCCAAAGGATTTGTGCCAATTGATTTTATGGGCGAAATTACTTTATACACATGTATGTATATGTGTGTGTGTGTGTGTGTGCTTGCGCTAAATGAAACTTGAAAACTATAATACGCTGGTGCAAACAAAGAATAAAAAAATATAGCGGCTAAGCAATTCTGAGTTGCCCAGCGGATACCGCAATTGGTGAGTGAGGTAGTGCCTTTCCTTCCCTTTCTTTTATTTTCATCTCTTAGCCATCTTGAGGCGCTCCTAAGCTTTAAGCTTTGAAAATTAATTGAGTTTTCTTGCGTGAAAAGAATTTGCGAGTAATTCGACTATTGTCTTGTGGAATTGCGTGTGAGTGTGTGTGTGTGTAATTGTTTCTTATTTCTATTGCTGTTTGTTGTTGTTGTAGTTTGATAGTGTTTTAGTTTACCTGCAGGCGATTTTTGTAAGTAGTTTTGGCTTTAATTTTAATCACTGATGAGGAGATGAGAATTCGCTCATTTATTGATATTCCCTTTGTGGCTTGGTTGTGTGTGAATATTGGGTTCGCGAGGTTAGTTTAAAGCGACGAAGTGTCTTTAAATAGTAGAGAAATTGAATGAAACTTATTTTAGCTTTTATTTTAAAGTTAAAAAGCTCACAAAAATCACTTTTAGAAGACAAAAACATACCTTTTTAATAGTGTAGATAAGCACTTTTATCGGTAGATTCTGATGATCGAATCATGTGCCTCACTTTGGTATTGGAGAGGTATCATAAAAAGGAAAGAGGAATGAATAAGAATGCTGGGAAAGGATTTAAGTCATCACTAAATGCAAAAAAAAACGTTTGACTGATACTTAGAATATGGCCACAATATTTGACCTGGCTCCTTCGGTTCTGATTTTATTTTTATATAAAAATACTAAGGCAGTGAGGCCGCAGAAATATTACAAAACGAAAAGAGAAGCGATAATGAGGTACTACTTAGAAATTAAGCATACTTTTCTCATAAAGGCTTTGTGGCATCTAAATAGAAGTCTGGGAAGTCTAATGTGGGAAACCCAGTTTGGCAAGTTAATAAGTGTTTTGAAAATAAAGCGAGATCTGGACATTTTCCGTCATAACTTAACACCATAAAGCGTCTAGCGTCAAAGTGTAAGATTTTTTTCCAAGGGCTCCAAAGTTTTCTAGGATATCGCCGATTGATTTGTCTCGTATTTTTCAGCTTGATCTATATTTTCAACATGAAAAATGTAATTGAAAAGTCGAGTTCTTTCAGAACATTTTCGAACTTTTTTTATTGGTAAGTTGAGGTCCAAGAAACTAAAAAGACTATCTGCGATACAAAACTAGAATACTTTGATTAGCTT